CACAAGTAAGCTGAAACCACTGCAACCGAAGCCCAAATGGCCCGAGCCCTAACCTTTTAGAGACTGTAGGGGCTTATGACTTATCTTATCCGCTGGAATCTGGAACAAACAAACCCCAAGCCCCAAGCCCAAGCATGCAACTGCAAAACGGCTACGGCAGCCTCGCGACTTGCATTCGCGCTGCCGGTTTGAAAGACTTCGCGGCGGTGATGCTCACAGCTCACACTGAAAAGGTGCACACGCATGCTTGATCGGCCTCAAACAACTTGACCAGTATGCCATAAGCCATGGGCACAAGTAAGCTGAAACCACTGCAACCGAAGCCCAAATGGCCCGAGCCCAAACCCTCTAGAGACTTTAGGGCCTTTAGGGGCTTATGACTTATCTTATCCGCTGGAACCTGGAACAAACAAACCCCAAGCCCAAGCATGCAACTGCAAAACGGCTACGGCAGCCTCGCGGCTGCCGGTTTGAAAAACTTCGCGGCGGTGATGCTCACAGCTCACACATCAGTCGATCATCAGTCACTCGCTGCCGGCGCCGGTGCAGCAGCCTTCTTCAGAGCCGGGTTGATGAGATCGATAATGTTGCTCTTTTGGGCCTCGTCGAGCTGCGACTTGATGACTTCAGCCGCTGTGGCTTTCAGCTTCGGACTCGTGAGGCACGTGTAAAGCACCTGATCGATCTGCAGAGCCTTGCACAGGCGAAGCTCCTCGCTCAGCTCAGTGAAGCTCTCCTGTAGCTGCACATTCGACATTGTATCCTGCACAGCTCCATACATCTTCGTGTGGGCGGCGACCTTATCCAGAGCCTGCACAGTGCCCGAGTGCAGAATGGACCACTTCATGGCCATAACGTCACAACATGACTTGGACTCTTCCAGCAAGCAGCAAACGGAGAAACCGCGACAAAGGACGAAGCACCTGAACCACCCAAAGAAAGACACACCCATTGAATGGAGGATGTTAAAATCTAGAATCTAGACTTCCGCATCTTGACCGATTCGCGCCTTCTGGGCAACATCAAGTTCGGCACGCAGGGTTCCAGGCATCACCTTGTCGGCCACTTTGGCCTTCATGGCCTGACAATTCCAACATGAAGCACGTCACACAACCGTCAAGAGTCAACTACCTAAGAATACTCAGCAGCAGAGATTTAAGTAGCAAAGCAACTAAGTCGCCAAGTCATTCGAGTCACAAATAACAACAACACTACACACAGTAACAAGCACATGTGTGTCTGTGTAAGTATCTTCCTCCACGATCTAGGAAGCACAATATGCTGCGAAATCGTGCTGAGGCTTTCTACCTCTCAGCCCTGACGGGAACGAAACCTCCCGAAGCCCTCAGCCTCAGCCCCAAGCACATTGCAGAAACCTACACTGCCAAAAACATCTCTGGACTCCAGCTCCGCTTCCTTGCAAGCTCCATCAGCGACACAAAGATGCGACTGTGCACGCTACACTTTCGATCAACTTTGGAACCACCGACAATACACAATGTTCTGACTCCTACTGTCCTACTAGCAATGATTAGCTGATTAGCTACAGCTAGCTACCAGCTACCAGCTGCTTGGCTTAGGTGGCGGTCTGGCCTCGAACACAGCTTGCTTGTCGTTGGTGTCCACGTCTTTGCTCCAATTCCTGTGCTGGCCGCCCGTTGCTCCCTGAAGTGCCACCATCGAAGCCTGCAAATCATCCAGGAGGGTCTTGTTGAGGTCGCCAATGTAAAGCTTGAACGGCTCGTGCTTCGCGACGATGTCATCGAACATGTTGCTGACGCCATTCGTGTAGACTGGGAGGTCCTCGTCCGCGGCATTCCCGGCAGTCTGCTCCGCCTTCAATGCCTTGGACTGGCAACCCATCATGCCTCTGATCGCCTTCGCCAAGGCTTCGGCGGACTTCAGCTTCTCCGAAGATGCGCTTGCTGCAGCATCGAAGCGGCGCTGCTCCCACACGATGTAGCTGCCGTAGTAGATGAGGTCACACAGCTGGCCCAAGTACTCAGAGGCCTCGTTCGAGAGCACTTTCGCGACAAGCTTCGTGCAGCACAGCTTCAAGGAGTGCCACTTTTGCTTGAAAGTCGCATGCGGGATGTCGGGGCTCATCACCTGCGCTGCATTCATTCTGCATCCAAGGAAATGTACAATTGTACAACGAAAACGAAAGTGTGTGCGAAACTGAAGCACAATCGATGGTTTCCCCACACGTTGGACTGCTAAGCGAACGTGCAACTGTTTGGGCAAGTAGTAGGCACGTAGCTGAGAAGGTCAGTCTAGTCACTGTACTACTGTAACCCTGCAACATTTAAAGAACAAGCACCTGCAAACCAAACCAGGACGAAAGGGCTAGCCGCTAGCTAATGATTCTCATGAGTAACGACTCTCAAGATTACGCTCAGGATGGGCTTTGCTAGCCACCAGCGACTGAACTGACAGTCAATGCGAGAAGGTATCAGTGCCCATTATATATCTTTGCGATCGTCAGCAGGTGTTATTGCTCCTGAGTGGGGAATTCAGGCCTTGGTCGGTTGGTTTGGAGTATGAATACCCTTAGCCTTTGGTTTGAGTTTTGTTGACCTTCTACAGGAACCGGCAAACACGAGCCAAACGACCTGACGAGAGATGAACCACACAGAGGGCCTTGATTCTTGATACCCATGTGAAGCGAAATCTGATAGATTCTGCTGTGTTGCGATTTGTGGCCTGCAACAGAAGCCTTGCAGACAACAGCCAAACAACACGACGAGGGTAACCGTGCACCGGAGAGCCCCAGAGCTGAAATGTCCACAAGGCCTCAAACCCCGTTTTGGGAATATGTGTCAGAAAGTTGACTCAGTCTCGCTTCTGAATCAAATCGACGAATGACCCAATATCCCCGAAAGGCTATTGGAAAACCTATGTTCCTACATACGTCAAATCTTGTGACTTTGTGGCTTTGAACACAAGCTTGGCAAACAAGAAACAATCAATCAGGTAACTCGACTACAGGAAGGCTTAGGGCCGTAGGGCTTAGGGCTTAGGGCCTGGGGTTTAAGCTTAGGGCTTAGGGCCTAGGGTCATTCGACGGTGTGCCTCGTCTTTCGCAGTGAACAAGAAGCGTGGCACCATTCCCCGCAGTTTTCGCCGAGACGTGTCATCCAGATCTGCATTGCGCAGCTGATTGCTGAGATCAACCAGGTCTTGAAAGCTCATGGTGCTTGGATCCGAGTCCAACTTGAGCAGGTCGGCGGCTTCTTTGTTCTGGTTGTGCCACTGCTTCAAGCGGGCCTGCAAGTCCAGGACGCCGTCCATCTTCTCGAAAAGGGCCAGGCCAACCGACACCACCGAGAAAGACTCGAGAGCGTTGCCATCTGCCACTGGGGATGCCAAGATCTGCGATGCGTGCTTTTTCACCTGAGCGAGCAAGGCCAGCTCGAGCTTGTCCAGCAATCCTGGACGCACCTCGTTCTTGACGTCAGCAAAGTCGTCAATCATGCTTTTCATCTCTGACACACTCAGCTCTCCTGCGAGCTGTGCCTTCCAGGTCTTGTACTTCTCACTGTGTTTCACATTTCCGCTGGCGAACTTCAGGGCTTCCTCAGCCAAGAGGTTGAAGTACTCGCTTTTCCCGAGGGCAGCCCTGACGGAAGTCTCCAGGCACTGACTGCCACCGTACTTCCTCAGCTTGTCGAGGTCCGCCAAGCCAGTGCCAGAGATGGCGGCATCTGCCTGGAGCATCACGATGAAGCACCGACACACCGATGCCAGCCGCGAGCACACATCTTTCAGGCCATCCGGAATGCGCTCGAGCACGTCGGTGCTGGTCAGCGATCTGCACAAGCCGTCGCAAAGCTTGTTGAGCATTTTCGATGCTGCACGGCCGCCTGAAGACATGTGACAAATGGTGACCGCTGAGGATGATGAACAGTAACAGTAACAGAGACAGCGGCAGTGGCAAGTAGTAGGTCAGTAGGTAGTAAGTACGAAGAAGTAAGTAGAAAGTAGTAAGTACTAAATTACTAAGTAGCAACTAAGTAACCAAGTCCAAGTAGCAGCAAGTAGTAAGTAGTAGTAACAGCACGCCCGACCAATTGCAATCAGTTGCAAGACTCCAAGGACAACTGAGGATTTAACAATAACTCGATAAGGTGACCGGTCACCGGCACATGCCCGACCACTTGCAATCAGCTATCCGATATCCAATCCCGAAAAGCAACTGTGGAATTTCACAGTACCGTTTCCAGTTAGCCGGTATGCCCTCTTTAGGACATCCCCTTTCAGAACCCCCGAAATCCCCAAAACTCCAGCATCTCCAGAAAGACACAACAACAAGTCTCTCTCTGCCAGTCTTTGCCCACCTGCAAGAAGCCGGAAAAAGTTGTCGTTTCCAAACGCCTCCGCCATGCCTTCTGCGATGACCTGCTCCATCGGGTCTCTGCTTTGCTGCAACAAGGAATCTATCAATGTAGTCGTTGGTCTCCTCTGGTTACTCTGGTTCCGTCTAGAGTCTACTCTCCTCTTATCTAGCCTAGGCCTAGGCCCAGTTTGGTTAGTTTACTTGTAGTTCTAACCTGGCTATCGATGTAGCTTAAAAATCTTGAGCCTGGAATGCCTCAAGCCTAGCCGCTAGTCTACGACCACTGTGGAATCACAATATTTGTCAAAAGCATAGCAATTGTGTAAGATGAGCATACACATGTAGCAAAATGGGATTTGGTTAGCAGCTGAACTCAGGTGCATCCTATGGCGCAGGAATCAAACTACACAAACACGCACACCCCGGGCCAGAATCAGCTGGGCCGGTGGCCAGAAGCAGATTGAGTTGTGTTTGGCTGTCGCATCATGGAAAACGACCTAAAGCCCGCAAATCGACATAAACACCCTAAAGTTCTACTGTTCCGAAGTTCTAAATTCCAAATATTCCAAATCCATTTGTCTAAGTCTAAGTCTAAAGTACGTCCATAACACAATAACTCAAAACCCGTGGCCCAAGACCGAAACCCGACCCACTGCATGACATGTCAAGCCTCCATCTCTTCAGCTTCAGCCTTGGTGTCCACCGCGTCACCGAAGAGCCGAGCCCTCGCGTAGCGGCCTGCAACGGCGGCCACCAAGGCGGTGAAGGTGGGCTTCTGCCACTCCCAAGCCACATCAGCCTGATCCCCTTCAGCCACTTGGGGGTCCAACTCTACCGGCATGAGCATGCCAATGACTTTGTCGATGTCCGTTGCCGCCATGTAGTCGAGGGTGTCGAACTCGGCAACGCAGTGCTGCACATAAATCGTTACTGGCGGTGTCCAATTTGCGCCCTCAAAGGCCTGCACGTGAGTGAGCCGGGTCGTCTTGCTCATCTTGCGCAGGTTGCCGTCCTTCAACAAGATGGCAGCTTCTGCTGCGAGGACGTGTGGACGGAGAAGATGTTGGTTCCGGTCTGAATCCTTCTCCATCTGGTTCAGCATTCTACGGGCCTGCAAGGAATCTTCAAAAATCTGAGGCAATGCCCTAGCCCTAGCCCTACAATGTATCTAGATTCTAGAATCTAGAATCTACCCACATTGACTCTAGAATTCTAAATTCTAGATTCTAGATTCCAGATTCGACATTCAAGCATTCAGGAGACGCATGGGACCTTTGGGCCGAGGCGGCCAAGGCACGTGGTCCACGGACCGGCCCCATGGCTCCAGGAAGACCCCTTCGTTCAAGCACAAGAAGCACTGTGGAACCCGCCCCAGCCGCTGACAGATCCTTTGCAGTGAGATCCGGAGCGTCTTCATGTCCTGCTCACTCTCCCCGAGGCTCTTGCTGGCATTGGTTGCACTTGTACCTCCCGTGCTTCGTCTGGACGGGCTGCTGGTTCTGCGGCTTTTGCTAGGCTGGCTCTTGGCAGCCCCCGGCTTCCTCTTCTTCTGCTTGATCTGCTCAGGCTCGTCGCCCAGAGTCCCGACATCGAACTCCACCGTGCCCTCTGCGACCGCCGTCTGGTGCAACAACTTGGCCGCCTCAACTTCGGGGTCCTTGCCCTTGTTGTCACCGTCATCGTCACTGCTGATGAAGCCTGCCAAGACTACTGGTACTGACTGCTGCTAGTGAATACTGCTGCTACGGCTACTGAGTACTGCTACGGCTAGTGATGCTGAGCCTTTATGACTGTAATTGACTGTATGATTGTATGCAGAATGCTGGAACGGACTTGATGGTTGGTCTCACGAACTGTTCGTGGGATGCGACCAGCGAGCAGGTTGAGTTTGGAAAACGAAGACTACTTCAGGTCTCACTTTATTCAAATGTGCTGGTGTTCAACTCAATCTCGGCCCTAGTCAAGCCACTCAGAATTCCGGGTGCATTTCTAGCATGATGTCCCTTTTCATGTACGTTCATGCTGCAGTTTCCTGGTTATGACTTGCAATGATTTGACTTGCGTGACTTGCAGCAAGCAGAACAGGAACACGCCCTGCCCATCACAACATCCGGCGGCGTGCAACCGAAACCTGCAAGCGACACCACCCGAGCAACACCACGAGCGTCACGACTGATTAAAACAGGCTGCCTTCATCCCTGCGCGGTGGGCCCAAGAACACACGACGGAGGATCATTGTCACAGCAAGACAGTAAACGCAGCAAACGTACTAATTACTAGTGAGTAGTGAGTGGTGATGAGTAAGTAATGATTAGTAACTAGTAACTAGTAACTAGTAATGATTAGTTTAGTTTAGTTTAGTTTAGTTTAGCTGCAGCTGTTTATTAATAGTAAGTTTGGTACCGGTAAATAAAGGTTGGCGGCCGGCGGTACCGGTACCAAGACAGATTCTGATAGATTCTGATAGATGCATCAGCCAACCCAGCCAACATCACTGAACGGACAAGTCAATCTGCGAGCCTTTGTCGTTGTCCGGCGTCTCCGGCACTTCCTGAGCGAGCTGTGTGAGCAGCTTCTGCTTCATTTCCTCCAGCTTCTTCGCGGTAAGTGCGCCTTCTTTCTCCATAAGGCCTTTCGCCCGCTTCTGGAGCTCAGCTGCCGCGAGGTACGACCACAAGTTCTGTGCTTGCACCTGCGCAAGCTGCTCCTGGGGCAACAAGAACACGTCGCTGCGATCGAGGGCGGTCTCCAGGAAGACCTCGACCTTGCGGCAGCTGCTCCAGATCGAATCAGGCAAGCCGACTGGCGAAAACAAGTATCCGTCCATTCGGCTGCCAGTCTCGATCCTCAGCTTGATGCTCTCCAGCCCCAATGCGGCGGGAGTGATCTTTCCAGCTGCTGGGGTTTCTGCGTCAGCCATCAGCGTGACCTCCTCCGCCGAGAGGAATGCCAAGTTGTACATGACCTTGTAGCCCTGGCGGACGTCCTTCTGGATCTGAGACGGCGGGTTGAAGCTGAGGGTCCGNNCGATCGCTGCATCCAGGACCTTCCGGAGCCCTGCATTGCCTGTGACTTTCTCGCAGACCGCCTGGATGTCCTCGCCCGGCCAGATTCTCACCAAAATCTTCTTGTCTCGCCGGCACAGCGTGCCCGCCGGACAGGGACCGCTGGAGCTGCCGGCGGCACCATCGTACTGGCCCCACGGGGTGTCCTGCAGAAATGGATTGATGTTGCACAGATGGAGAGAAGCTTGCATGGAACAAACCATAACAAACCCTAACAGACCGCGCAGCTCCTGCATTGGTTGTCATGACGAATGATGAATGCAAAAACAATCGAGTCCAAGGGTATTGCTCACACCTTTGATCTCCTAGACCCGGCAGGGCTTCCCATGCATATCATTGAACAACAGAACAAAAACCAGAAACAAGGGCGCGGCTTGCTTGTTTCAAGGTTCGGCACATTTCACTGCAGTCACTCGAGGCACTGGTCCATAGAACCATGCACATTCTAACGATCATTAATGTCATAAATGGAATGCTGCATATGTATCACTAGAATCTCTGGACTCTCGACTCTAGGACTCGAGGCATCGTTTTGGAAACTGTCGGCTGCTGACTAGCGACGAGAGTCTACATCTCCAGAATGACTGCAAATGCTGGCACTCTGCAGGACCCAATGACCCAATGATCGCAATCGGTTTCGAAGATTTCATAACTCAGCACTCTTGTCACATGACTTCCTGAATTTGCCTGGCAGCCGATCACAAACCCATGAGGCCCATGAACTCGTTTGCCTCCAGAATCCAGAATCAAGCGACGGTGTACAGGATACTGAACACAGGTTCCCACAAATAGACCAGACGCGAGTAGACTCAGCAGACTCGAAGGGACTAAAGACCAGGATGGCTTGACTAGACTGGACTCGACTCGACTCGACTAGTGACTTGACTAGACTGGACCGGACTCGACCAGACTGGAGACTGATGCACAAGGTCAGTATGTGAAGTCGTCCACACATAAAGATTGAAATCCAAGACGCTGCACTGCACTGCACTTGCAAACCAGCGCGGTCCTCGGACTTGCGTCCACAAATGACACATGTCAAGATAGTCAAGATGCGCGTCATCTTGGTTCTGGTTCTGACATTTCTGGCCTCAGGTTCCCGATCTTGGTCCCAGCTTTCTGGCAGGAGCCCCAGGTCTTCCACGTCCATTTCGGCGGGCTCCACGGGCTCCGCTTTCACTCTCAGCTGCGTCATCGCCGCCACCGGCGCGGCCTGCGGAAGATCTCGTGACCATGCTAGCAGCTAGCAATTCACACAACTAAAGCATGGACGACTGGTGACTTGCGACTGTGACATAGTCAATAGGGCCAATAGGGACGACGGTGTTCTGTCTTTGTTCTCATACGCAAGTAGCTGGAGTAGCTAGAAACACAATGACAAGCGGTGGCCTTGGCTTTGCCTTTGGCTGCGGCCGGACTTTTGCCACTTTTACCCATGGCGGCAATGGTGGCCACCTGCAGACACAGGATGCAACTCACACGGTTTTGAGTTTTGATGACTTCGATTTCAGATTCAGGGCAGCAGCTGATTCATCCGGAATGCAAAATCTGGCCATCGGACAGCAGCCAGAACGACCCAGCCCAGCAGCAACACCACAAAAGTTATTGGACTCTATTGGACAAAACCTCTGTGGCAAATGCTCAACACTGAACATGTCACTATTGATGATTGATGGCAGGCAGACTGGCGAGCACAGAAAACCTCGACTGGGGCACTGGGGTCTACGAGTCTACTCAGTCTACTCTTCTGCACTGAGCTGCCAACCTTTCAGCTCGCCAAGCGCAGGCAGCACCGCTACCAGGCAGCTACCAGCAACTGAGCGACTGAGAAAAATGCAGATTCCAAGGAGCAGCACCAACAGCAGCAGTGATGCTGAGATCAGGATGATCAGCGGCTAGCGGCTGGCGTTCTGTAGTAGGCGGCCCGTTTTTGGTCCGATGTCACAGGTCATAGGGCCCACAGGGCCCATAGGGTCGACACAGCCCCATGTGCCAGCGGCTGCCAGTGGTATCGTGAAGCAGCAGAAACTAAGAACTCAATGCCAATTGAAAGCTCAAGGTGGCAATTATTTCAACATTCCGATGAAGCTCTGCAGGTATGTCCTACTACACTACACAAATGTGGTGGCCGACAACGGTGTAAAATGTAGCCAACCAATGGCCTGACTGAAACAAGAACTTGGCCACCTTGCTCGCGCGCAATCTAGAGAATCTAGAACCTCTGTTCTTCGTCCACGTCTTATGGGA